CAAGGCTAACATTAATAAATTTCATAAATCTAATACAGTCAATGTATATATAAAGAAAAATTTAAGTTCTCTTAACCAGTTCAAATTCTTTACAAATAGAGGCAAACATGTCTTAACTCTCATAACTTATAATCACAGCTCTAACATCAGTTACACATGTTTAAATTCAAGCCATACAGCTAATCTGTCTGTACCCCCCTCCCCGATATGCCAGAGTCTCTTAAACATTAAAAACACTATGATTCGATTCAGTTTAATCCAGAATGATGAATGCCACAGGTGTGTGTTCTGCTTCATCAAGGCTCCTCAAATCTCTGTATCTTCTCACATGTCCAAATGAAGGGGGAGGAGGGCACACAGGTGCCACGTCAGACAGGCAGTGCCAGAAGTTAGAAACCGGAGCCTCAGTACCGTTGCCTAAGGCTTGGAGGTCTGAGCACAAAATGCTTCTGAAATCTTCCTACCCGATACAAATGAACCTCCAGAATGCAGAGTCTAGATCAATAGCCCTTACCTGAGCTCGGCCTTGCAATCTTAATCTCTGCCCCTTTTTCATTCAGACACAGTCATTTCACAGCCAGCTTCGGGCAAATGGAACAGACCACTACCTCCCCATCCCCAGTTCCTGCACCTGCCACATTCTGGCAATACTGTCCACTGAATGCCCAACTTTTTATTTTTATCTCTAGCAATTCTCAAAATAACCTGGTGTGTTCACAAACACGTATTATTTTGTTTGTTTTACTGTTTCATAATCCCTTTTTCTTTATGGATTTTTCATAATAATCCACACAGTTTTCTTACCCCGCTCACATTTCAAGAAGGAATAAAATGATGTCTATACTCTTCTTGCACACCCCGGGTGACTCTGCGTTGACACACAGTTTCTATAGGAGATGAGCCCCCAGCCAGCTGAAGGTTATTCTCGACAGTGGCTGTAGCCCAATAAGGCGAGTCTACACTCACGGCTCCCAAAAGTAAAGACTCTTGATGCGGGCTCCCTGAAATAACACGGGAAGAACTGGGGGGATCAGTCAGCTCGTTCCACAGCTCAACAAAGAAGCAGCAGCAGCCTCCTAGTGCCTCGCAGAGCAAACAAGTCCCCCAGAACACCCAGTCAAGTACAAGGTGTTTCATAAACAGGACTTCCGGCCACTATCGTGGACCTTGCCTCTGCGTGGAATTTTACCACCAAGAGAAATACTAACACTCTTCCAATTCTGACATTTTCTTTCAGCTCTTCCTTCATGGTGAGAAGCCCCAGTGTTCAAGACAGAGGTAAGAGCCCTTAATTAAGAATTACGAAATAAACGGGCAAGTCATCCCACATACACTATCACGTTCCTGTAAGGTGACTTTGTCACTGAGCGATGCGTGTAGGTGTAATTACTCACTTTCATTGATATATAGTGTTCCATTGTGTTAATATGACATGATTTTAATCCGTATTTAATTATGATCACTTCGCTGGTTTCCAGTTTTTCCTCAAAGAACCCTGTTATGCCCCGAACGTGCGTGTAGATGTCTTCCCGAGGACGCGGTGTGACAATTTCTCTGTACATATAAGACTGGAATTGTTGCATCTTTTCAGTTGCCCTGAACGTGTTTTCTTGCGTAAACATTTCAATCAATCCCACCAACCTCTGTGAGTTTCTCTTCCTTCCCATCCTCTCTCCAAGAGTCGCTTTTGACAAACTTGAAGTTTTTCCCAGTCCAACAAGCACAAAATAAATTTATGTTAAGAAATATCCGTGAAATGGAGAAGATAAAACTGACCCCTTTGTAAAGGCAAAAATCAGAAGGGTCCGTGTCTGTGGGGCACCTAAAGCATCGTCCAGGGTCGCACGGCTGTCAGGGCACGTCTGGACTCAATTCCTGTTCTTCACCCACACGAGGCCTGTCCTGTTCATTTTCTTTCTTCCGTCTTTACAGCATAGAGACTCCGAGATCAGGCCAAGGGTGTGATCCCTCTCTGTTGAGCCAGAAAAGAGGGTTCAGGGCTGAGGGAAGCAAAGCCTGTGGTGTACCCGGGAAAGGGCGAGGGCCTGCTGGTCTCCCCACAACACAGTCAGTTTGAGCCGATTCATCTCTGGATCCCCACTACGGAGTGGCATTAAGCACAACACCAATCTCCATGACCCTAGAATGCTGGATCCAGAAAGGCTTGGTTAGCCTCCCAAACAGCGACAATCTTATTCTCCAAATTGGGATTATGGGCAATTTATTTTCCTTTTTTTTTGTTTTTGTTTTGGTTTTTTTATTTCAGTTCGCTAATGGCTTCGTTTTATTTAAAATACATAGTTTTTTTCCTAATAAAATGACTTGTTAAATTGTGTGTAAGCGTAAATTACACCCGGGCCTTTGGGGGGAAATTACTTGGCAAACTTGTTCTTTTTGTTTGTTTTGTTCTATTTAACTTATTCTCTGAACAGACTACAAATGCGTAACTGTTTCCAGTTGCTTTTTTTTTTAATTTTTGCCAAGTAAGACTTTTTAAATATTCAAGCAAGGCAACTCAGAGTTAAAATGATAATAACTATCATTAACTAATAATAAACCAGTTGCCGCAATATGATGAAAAATTCATGATCCCTGAACATCACTCCACAGGCCACACAGTCTGAGTGACAGGAAATGCCGATCATGGCCACGTTCTCCTCTCAAGAGTCTTCTTACTGTTTCCGGCCATGCTGAAAAGTTATTTATGGTCATTTGAATAACAAGTCTCTACCTGCTGCTTTACTGTAATTTAAAACAAAGGTTTTGGGGGGGTTGTTTATTTGTTTGTTTTAAGACAGAGTCTCACTTCATTGACTTGAGTGCTGTGACATCACAGCTCACAGCAGCCTCACACTCTTGGGCTTAAACGATTCTCTTGCCTCAGCCTCCCAAGTAGCTGGGTCTACAGGTGTGAACCACTATGCCCAGCTACTTTTTCTATTCATAGTAGACACGGGGTCTAACTCTTGCTCAAGCTGGTCTCAAACTCCTGAGCTCAAGCAATCCACCCACCTCGGCCTCCCAGAGTACTGAGATTACAGGTGTGAGCCACTGCACCTGGCCACGATAAACATTTTACGTGAAAGAATGACAAAATTTTAAAAATCCAAAGTTCATATCTTCTTCCCAAACAATACAAAAAACATAAAATGCTTTAATTCTGATGGTATAGATTCTTTTACATTTGAAATTAAGCTTGTTTACATATAAAATAAAATTTTAAAAGGAGGAATATTTATAACTTTATTCCTGTTCTTAAGGTCATAAATTGGTGGGTGAATGCAATTAACTTAATATGGTAAAGTAACTTAAACTTTAAGTGATCAAACAGCTTCCTGCAACAAATATTTTGATATTCATAAGTTCTTATAACAAACATCCTTAGGTACCATTAACCTAAAATGTTCAACATATCAGGAGTACTGTGTGTTATTCTTAGCAAACTGAGAGAGAAATTTATTTTTTTGGTGATAAGAAGCAGAATAAATATAGATATAGTCTAAATATTATGGTAACTGGCATATATACTACTGTTTTATTTAGTATTTTATCTCAAAAATTTACTGGTTCAAAAGAAGCCTATCCTTGCAAAGTTCTTGTTAAGCTGCCAACTGGGACAGTAGCTTTGGTTATATATTTTAGACTGAATTACAGCTATAAACGTTACAATTCAGTCTTCACACTGATCACCTCTCTTCCATTTTATATGGCTTTTTCCTCCAGCATATTATTTATATATTGTTCTTATACCCTCAAGGTTTGTTTTTTGGTTTGTTTGTTTTTCTTTTTTTTTTT